ATTCCTGCTCTGTCAGTCTCCTACAACAGCAACAAGATCTCTAACCATCAGCTTCTTCATTTTTGACTCTTGCTCTCTCTTCTTTTTCCAAAAGACATTTTTGAAATCTCAAAAGGTTCGGAATAGGAAAGCCATTTTTACATCTAATTGCAAACAAAGAGAGGTGACTGTTTCTGGCACCTCCTAAACCCTGAGCATTTAACTTTGTGCTTTAATAAGGTCCTTTGTGTGCAAAAACAAATCTAACGTTTAATATAGGTAGTAATTTGGGACAAAATTCTGATAAAGAGTATTATTTTATCTATCCACTTAATTTCACTCATCTTCATTTCTCACCTCTGGATTTAACTCAAAATTCAGCTGAACTTTTTCTCCAAGTGGGATTTTAGCAACATCAAAGCAAACCGTCAAGAGCTTGTCATCTGGTGTGAAAGTATCCGCATCACAGACAGTCAACTCCAGGATGTTCTGAAGAGAAAGGCAGAGAAGGAGGTAAATGCCACATCCTGGGACTACTGAGCCCAGCAGAAGGTCCTGCAAGAGTCAGCACGCAGCCCTTGTGTTGTTCAATGTGGACAGACTCCTGCAACAGCACAGAGCTCCGTTCACAGCCCCCGTGGCTCTGACTGCAAAGTCAGGGACTAACTCTAGAGGAGATAGAGCTTCAGATTTGGCAATGAACAAGAACTCAAAAGAAAGACAGTATAAATGGCATGCATGACGGTAACATGCACTGGATAGAGCAGAGATTACACATGCTGTGGATTCAAAATTACTGTCTTGAGAAATCTTAACGTATCAGAAGAAAGTAACAATAGAGGGAAAACTCCTGGCTCTCTGCAACCAGAAGGTAAAGCACAATAACAAACTCTTTTAAGAAGATTCCTATTGTAGATTTCCCTTGCAATTCCTTAGGGCTCAGACTACCACAGCAGCATGAGAGGATGCAACACTACCAAGCCATAGGAAGCTGACCCCATGTCTAGACCTTGCATCACTCCCACTCTGACCGCTTATCTCTTTCTGCTAATTCTACAAACACATTTGTTTTGGGTTTTTTCACAACTTCTCTGGAACAGAAAGAAGCACTCAACTTTATTCCAAATGATCCACAATCCTCTGAGTTCATACTCATTCAGATCATGGGACAGGCATGATTCTATTACAAGTCTGTAAGTCACACATAAGTTTTGCTTTCTTACAGCTTATTAGGCTTTTGAAAATATGCCTGTTTAATGATGTAAAAAAAAAAAAAGACATTCTTTAAAAAATTTTAAAAAACAGCATTAAGTTATGGTACCTCTTATAATTTGCAAACAGCATCACTGTTACTGTATAAAGCAGGTACTACAAGCTCATGCAACATACAGTAAAAATGCCTTCACAGTTGCATACAAGCAATTACAACTAAAGCTCTAAAGAGTTTATAAAGCCTTCCATCCAATTCATGGAGTTCTAGTACTATTTACTTGCTAGTAGGAAGCAGAATCTCTCATGCTGTCTTTGATGCTTTCTGTATCTGTCCGCTACCATCTTATCCCTCACTGAGTTCAAGCCTCTGCGTAAGCCTCAAGGCTCTCATGAAGAGTCTGCAAGCAGCAGGTGAAGATGTCCCCTTTAGAAAGCACCTGCTCACATTCACAGGTGCAGGTCCTACCTTGACTTGTCTCTGTATCATGAAGTGAAAGGTTTCATTCCAGACAGGGTTTCTGCAGTTACACACAGCTCTTGTCCGGGCTTCCTGATGCGAAGCTGTTGGCAGCCACAGCTTCACATAGCAATCACTTTGGCTCACTGTGTTAACAGAAAGATGTGTAATTAGTACAGCAGTACTTTTTTACATCATTTCTTTTGTCCAGTTCTTTTAATCCAAAGATTAATCTCTGAGGAGTCCGAAATATTTCATTAGACCCAAAGGAAAACATTCTGGGTTTAGAATTATTTAACTTTTCTATCGACATTTATGTCAATTCCAAACAAAAATAAATTTTGAATCACTAATTCTACTTGGCAGCAAAAGCTAAAACACTCAATTTAAACACTACTGAACTGAAGCATTCTAGTACTTCACCTCTTTTACTTTTCATTTCAAATATTTGCCAGAGTCCAAGCAAATTCACATATGACTTCACTTCCTGAAACTTCACTTTTTATAAAAAAAAAATGAAGAATTCAGCTTTGGGGATTTTTTGACCTGGTTTTCATTGTAATGCATAAGTCATCCACAGTGAAACCAGCAACAAAGACACAAAGACAGCAGAACCCAAGACAACTATTGACTTTTCCTGTGTCTTTCACAAAGGCGTCTTCTTCAGAAGGGAAATGGGTAATCTGTAGATAAAAGGGCACTGAAGATTTAGAGGAAAGGAAAATACCACAGAGCAGCTGGTGAAGGGAAGGGTAACTTCTTTCCTGACATGGAATGTCTATTCGATTTCATTTTTGTTATTGTTCTCTACATTATTATAACTGAGTCTAAATGAAAATGAGAATGGATACAACCTCTTCAGCCAAAAAACCTGAGACACTACTGTAATGCAAGCAGCTGGTGTACAAGAGCATTAAATTCAGGTAACAGTGATTTTCTTGCTAATCTCTGTACGTGCCATCAGTGATACTTACACAAATCTGCTTTGCGGAGATTTCTCATACTTATAATTTTTACAGTAAGCCAGCACAACTGAGGCATTTCTGGCTGTGGAACAATGAGAAAAAACACCTTAATTATCAGCAAATAACTCAGATGTAACTAACACAGCCTACCCTGTAGCACAGCAAAGACACCTGGAAAATAAGTATCCAGAGGCCATTCTCTTACTAATGCAGTGAATATGTTTTCATTTTAATTATTTGAGACAACTTCTGAGAGGAAATTTTCTTGCGATTTGACACCACGTAACTTCAGATTCCAGCTATGTTTACTAACCAGTTGCGTTTAAGATTAAGTTTTCTGAAGATTTAGGTTTTGAAGGTTAAGTTTTAACGGAGGGAGTAAACTAAGAAATATCACAAGATAGTTTTCACCAAAAAAAAAAAGTCATTGCATAAGTGTCCTTGTAAAATCCAGCTACCTTCAAACCACAGGGTTTGCTCCTCAGATTTCAGGCTGAGTGCTACAGATTGTAGCACACACAAAAAAAACCCCACCTCAAAAAAAGCACAAATAGGTAATCTAGAATGGTCTGTCTTATTCAGAACTTTTGCATAATAAATTGTTTTAAAAATACGTTTACATGGAAAACCACTAGGCTGACCTCAGTGATTTACCAAGTAGAAGCACTGAGGTACAGCAGTATACTGACAACCCATAGAACAGGGCTCTGCAGGGCAATAGCTTGAAGGCTGCAAAACCCTTTCCATTTTTTGTTTCCTCCCCACACTCCCCATCACAGCTACACACAGCCATATACTTGGTTACAGGAAAAACAAGACAATCTCGAATAACATCGGAAGTAAAATACTACATACAGAAGCAGTAGCACCACTAATTAAATTGAAAGGAGCAATTAAATCTTCAAAGCATCACAATTTCTGAGAAACTGTCTCCTTAGGACGTCCCGGTGTATATTTTCTTTTGATACACCAGTGTCCTGACAGAAGCAGATTAACCAGCTAAAAAGCAGTAAGTCAGCACGCTAGATGCTATTTACAGCCCACTGGAAAAATTACCAGCCCAATCAGTTTTCTCTCAGAAAGAGCCATTTGAAGAAAACCATCAGCTTTGGAAGAAGCCCATCAATCTCAGCAGAATTTTTGGCAGCAACATTTCTGGAACTAGAGAGAATGGCAGGAGCAGATGACCTCAACTGCTCAAAGCTCATCCTAAAGCTTGTTTCATGTTTAGCATGTTTCATCCTAAACATCAAGGATTAATTTTTCATCCTCAGCTTCAGTACCATCCATATCCAGGAGTTGAGAGAAAACTTATTTATGAGATGACTGAAGGACTAAGAAAATACACAGACACAGACCCAAGTATAAATCCATAGTGCTAGCAGGTAATGAGCTCACTACTCTCCCAGATCTAGCAGAGAGTTAGCCTCATACTTCTGCACTGAAGGAAGCAGATTCAGGAATCTTAGGGTGAGGGAGAAACCACATAATACAAGTTTAATGTTTTTTTTCTAAACTACCATTTAACATCATTTCCACCAGCCATTACTCAGAGAAGGGACTAATTTGTTACATGTCCAGTACCTTCCACGTTCATACCTTCTAACACCTTTTACCAGTTCAGCATCATAAAAAATTGTGTTCAGAACTATTCTAAGTGACAGACACAGAATAATTCAATTTATCTGCTGATCTGCCTCCATTAAGCAAAGGAAAAACAATTTGAAGACCGAGCCTTGGGTGTTATGAGGTATGATTACCATCATATAGTGACGTCACAGCAAAATCAAGACTAAAATCCAGCTCTCCCAGTTCCTTGCCCAGCATCTCAACCACAAGTTCATCACCTTCCTCACCTTCCCAACCCCCAAGTCATAGCGAATGTTTTTCACTCTACAGAGTACACTCAGAGAAGAAACAAAGATCCCCTTAAGTAATCATTAAAGAAGTATCACCTCTCACAATAATAGTTAAGCTTAGGGAGAGATAGGAAAGGCTGCTGGAAGATTGCAGGTAGCATGGCCATTTTTCATACCTCGCAGTCCCTCTCCCTGCAATCCAGATGCTGCCCACTATACAGTACCTCGCCTTCAGCGCCGTGAGGTCTTTCATGATTCCTGCTCTTGATTCCAATCTTGCTGTGGGAGTCTGCTTGGATGAACTGATCCTGGGAATGAGGAGCCAACAGAGGGACCAGCAATGAAACCCAGCAGTGAACAACTCCTAGGTTTCAGTTTCTAGTCAGATTCAACAATGGCAGCAGACCCTGAAGTTTCTACTCTTCGTGATGGGATACATCTCTATCTCACCAAGACCATCTATCTGCTGTACCTACTAATAAATCTGCCCAGTGCAGACCCATTTGACACTTAAGGAGCAAAATTCCCCAGATGTTTGCTTTTGATGATCCTCAATATAGATAGCCAAACGGATTCTCCTGCCCCACCACTGATTTTCTCTTACCATAGATGAATAGTCAGATGATCCCACTAGTACCTCTGCTTCATAAAAGGCAGCACTATAATGGTTCAGTCTGTATGTCTCACAGCTGGCAGGGACTCCTGGACCACGCTATTTTCCAACCAACTGAGGCAGGGAAGAAGCGCTGTATAGATTGACTCATAGCTCCACCTCCCGCTGATTTCAAAAGCACAAATTATGCACTTGTGCCACATGAAGATTGGTTTTCCTTTTTTTTTTTCCTTTTTTTTTTTTTTGTTTATACCATAGTGATTTAGGGAAAAGGAGAATATGGGTCAAACATTTTATCATAAGCTAAACACAAAAATAGTTATCCGCCACCATAAAGTTTGAATAACCACACACAGAAGGATATCCTGAGGCAGTTGCAACCCTCACAAACTAGAGAAGACCTAACAGAACATTGTGACTACTGATACCTACTGTTACTTTCTCTGGTCCTAAAATCTATACCAGTGCTGTGGCAGCACCAAGTGTTGTGATCTGAACATCCAAAAGCCCCATTCCAGTCCCCACCGGCTCCTTCAGCCAGATGCACAACTGCAAGGGAGTTTGCGAAGTCTGCTACAAATGACAGCCACAGCCAAGACTGTCACGGGCAGTAGCAAATAGTTAAGGAAAACAGCTTGTAGCTTTTCTCCTTTCTAATTTCTGTTACACAAAGGATGTTACGGAGATCCAGCAGGAGCTTTTGTTATTGAAACAGTTTTTAGTGAAAGTGCTGCTTTCAATTAGATTATGTTAGAAACGTAAGGTTAAACATAATTACATATGATTTTTTTTCCGAACTATTGAAACATTCATGTTAAAAGTGTCAAGTCTGATTTCTTTTTCATTTTAGAATAATTTCACATTATTTTTCTGTAATAGCACTCCATACATAACAACAAAAGTACCTATTACCATTACTAAAATATGGCAGAGAACAGCTATTGCATTAACACCTTTTTGAAACAGCAGGACTTATAGAAAAGGAAAAAAAAACAACACAAAAACCAACAAAAACAAAACAACAAACCAAACCAAAACCAAACCAAAAAAACCCCAAACAGACAAAAAAACCCCAACCTGACTTTCAACCATTTCTAGTGAAACTGACTGTTCAAACTGCCCAGTACAGGAGAGCTGCCTTAGATAAAGTTTCAAATGATCATTATAATGAGTCTGGTCTTTCACAGACTCAGGTATTAAATACATAAAGGTTCCTGCTTTAGGTTGTGCTGTCATTTATGCAAAAAAGTGTGATGAGCTGTGGGGTTCACAAGTTCATTTAAGCCATATTAACCACTCACGCAGCTGTGTCGCTGCACTGTACATGTGTGATCTGCACATCATGAGAAAGAAGAAACCCAGCTCAGCAGCTGTCCCATGCAAAAGCAGATGTAGTCCAGCAATAGTTGGAAGTTACTTGGTAACACAACAGTGTGCAACATCAGCAGTGGTGTAGGTGAGTCAGAAGCCAGGAAGCCACAGAGCAGAAGACAAAAGTATTGCACCAATGCCATTATGACAACAAAAGGCTTCAGCAGTACCAGCTGCATGGCAATAGGAGCTCTGGAGTCATGCAGACACTTAAACCGGGCCACATAACTTGCAACACGGGTGCCTGGGGTGGCAGAGGAGCAGACCACTTGCAGCAGCACCAGCACAGGCTCTGCAGCCTCCTAAGAAGCAGCTGCGAGAGCTGGAGACTCCCAGTTGTCACCAAGATCCCAGATCAATTTCAGAATCACTTTCCTCTCACAAATTTGAGACTGCTAATCAGTGATATCTTCAAATTCTCAAGGGTTTTCTACAGCTATTTAACATCTAAATATAAGGCAAAGGGTGAAAATACCTGACAGTCTAGCTCACAAGCCTTGCAAGACTGTTAACTTCTGATACCAAGTGCTGTGATAAAAGGGCCAGAGACACCTCTCTATCTGAGCTCTGATACACTTATGCAGCCATAGGGTCTAACTTTAGTTTTAAAAATACTGATGATTTTGTTCTTTATAACACCCTAAATGAAAGCTTTCAGTCACACGTGTAAGACTTCATTTACATGACTCAAATAAAATATCCCAAAACTGAATCACTCATAATCCCTTTTTGACCTAGATTCTGACAAAATCTGAAGTGACGGTTATTGAAATCCATAAGAAATTAAGTTTTCATGCAGTTTTTAGAGCATCTGTTTAAAGCATTTAGGTAAGATGAAGAACAAGAGACATTAAGCTGCACTTCTTGATTTGATAATAGGGAGAAGACCACAGGAAACATTTTGTGGGACAATAACAAACAACCTGTATGACTTAATATTGCCTATTGCACATAAGCTGCACGAGTGTGCTCATATCCTGTTAGAATTAAAGTTCTGTTCTAATAAATGATTCAATATTACCAGAAAAGAAATTCACGCTTACATTGCCAATTTAGGCTTTATTTACAAATCAGTTGTTCTAATTTTCTCCTGTTATTTGATAAGTACTTCAACACAATCTGAGATGAGTTGCCACAAGTGACAAGGACAACACACACAACAAGCTGCTTTGTGTTATTGCTGAGGAGACAGCTCCAAGGAGTGAATTA